GCTGCTGCTTGCATACCCCCCCCCCCCTTTTCCTTCGGCCTCACTCAATCGTGGCGGCATCCAGCGGCGATTGTTCTGTCCTGTCTGCAAATAAGTAACACTCTCCGCTGCCTCCCCCGCCGCCTCCCGATTCGCCCCCTCTCCTTCGTCTCCTCTGGCTTAAAAGCCCCCCCCCCCCCAACTTCCTTTCCCCGAGCCTAGCTTAACCCCTCACAGGCTGCTGTACGATCAGCCCATCATTTTCCCAGACCTTGAACGGCCTGCTCCCCGCTAATGGGCTCGGCTATTGCCGAGGCTACCCGAGAGGGGCACACTGCCACTGCAGCAGCGGTTATTGTTACTATTGCTGAGTTGCAGCGACAACACCGACAGCGACCAGGCGACACTTGCACCACCACCACCGCCACCACCTCAACCGAACAGAGGCAATCGAACGGAGAGCAGCGGTTTCAGCGCGCGGGGGCGCGCACTGCGCACTGCTGCACTTAGCGACGGCGGCGCTGACCGGGCCACTCTCGTCTAATTAAAATGTGCGGCCCTTTGCAATAATAGAGGGTCTTTCCACAGCAACCCTCCTCAGTCACCGGGTCGGGTCGGTTAGAGTCGCGCAAGGTCGGGTCGGGTCGGTTAAAGTCCTGTCGGGTCGGCTTGAGTCCTGTAGGGTCGGGCCAGGTCGGCTAGAGTCCTGCAGTGTCGGGTCGGCTAGAGTCCTGCAAGGTCAAGCCGGGTCGGTTCAGAGACCTGTCGGGTCGGCTAGAGTCCTGTAGGGTCGGGCACTTTCATCTTCTTCGGTGGCTTCGCTTCCCGCGCCTCGCCGTTCCGCGTGCAGAAAGGCAATTTTTGAGACGCCGCCGCACCATCGTCCTCCTCCTGAGCCATCCCGGCGGGAAAAATCATAATTACAGGCCGGACTGGCCGCGAACGGCGGAGGCTGGGGCTGGGATGGGCTGGGTGGACGCCCTCTCCGACCAGAGGTATGGACATCAGTGACGTATCAACAGTATCAACACCGACCTCAAGAAAGATAAAACACAACACGACCTCTTCAGCCTGGCCGTCCTGGCACAAGGTGCGACTGCCGCCGCCGGTGGCTATGTTCACTCTTAAAAGAGGAAATGGTACGTAGTTATTCTGATGAGACGACGACGACGCCTCCAGGTGACAATGTTACTGGGTGAGGGGAATGAAAAGGAGGGGCAGGCTTCTGTGGGCACGGAGATGAGGCTCCCTCGTCCGCGCATAGCTAGGCATAGCACCTGCGTAGAGACATTTCGGACGCAGACGGCGAAAGTGCAAAAAACAAAAACAAAATTAAACAACTCGAATAGAGTAATAAACCCGCGTAACTCTCCGGTTCCCGCCGTCAAGATAAAATAACGCAGACTTTACGCCGCCCGGGCCCGCCCAGCAGGGCATGCTTGGCCGCGCCCGACCTTACACTGTCACCGGAAACAGGAGTGGCGGCGGCAGCGGCTGCCTAGTCCAGCCCCGGGGGCCCGGGGGGAGATTCCTCGCGAAACTCGACACTCATTTAGCGCCACCTCTTCATTTGGGCCGCTTGGCTGACCACGGAACATCCTTGGGATTGCCGCGCCGCCGGTGGTGCGGTGGCCGCCGCCGGCCGCCGGGCGGCCCGCGGAGCGCGTTGTCATTCGTTGTAGTTCGTTTGGGAAAAAGAAAAATCAAGCAACAGTTTCGCTCCGCGCAGAGAGCGTGAGAAACCGAACTCCGTAGGAGGGGTCAACAACATCTTCGCAAACGCAGCGGCCCTTTGCGTAAGCTTCTCTCTGAACACACGCTCCGCGAGACGCCCGCGCGCATACGCATTCACGGTTGGAAATTTCCAAAATTTTCGGAAATTTCCCGAAAATAACTTTTGTTTCTTCCTGGAAATTTTTCGTTTTTTTCCGGTAATTTTCCTGAAATTTTCCGGAAACTTTTCAGGGTTTCCAACCATATGCATATTTACTCCCTAGGATGTAAGAGGGTGCCTATGACCTCATAGTGACCATCTGCCAGACTATGTTGTACATGGTCAGTTACTGGTCAGAAATCATCGGGCAAGTCCGGCCGCCATTCACCGTTTACCACAAATCTGCCAAATTCAGCCTTCCATTCCAACCCCAGCTCTCATGGCGCCTGATAGATAGGCAATACCTTGCCTGCAGTGCATGCGTGTACTGCGGGGTGGCCTACCCCGAGTCTCGCAGGCGCCGAGCCCCCGTAACTTGTGGAATTACTACTGCATCCTCGTTGCCAAACAGAACAGCTTCTCAAATAGGGTGTCTTAACGTAGTAACTTGTAACGTAAAATGCACATAAAAAAAGTAAACTCGCAATTTGGATGCGCCATTGAAGCGCTTTCAGTGCGTTTTACTGAAAAACACCCTGGAAAATGTCCAAAACAGCTTTCAGACGGTTTAAGGTTGACATTTTTTGGTTTTGCACCTTCTTAAAAGTCACGTTACATTACCCTGACCTCAAACAGCCTCGGGCAAAGACGATGGACAAACTCGACCGAACGCATGCATGCGACACATTGCCCACGACGCACGACATTTTGAAGTCTACCAGAGGCACCAAGACCAGGAGGTACACCAGGATCAGGTACACAAAGCAATCAGCAAGAATGGGATTTTGGAAACTTACTTTTATCTGAATAAACGTATTGAAAAATTTGCCATACATCGTAATAATTACTTCTATCGTATGCTACACACCGTAGAGTGTGGTGAGCAGGCCGTGGATGGCGGTGGTCCTGGTGGCGAGCGACATGGTGAGACGGGTTGGTTTAGTTCAGACGCGGGGTGACTCTGCGGCGGGCGTGCGCCCCGCGCGGCTGTTCGCGAAGGAGAAGGAGCCCCTCGTCGTTCTGGGCACAACCTGCGGGGACCTCTGCGGCCGGGCTGGGACTGGAGCCACGGAGCACCGCGCGGAGCTGGAGCAGACTGCCGGGCCGGCCGGGCCGGCTCTGTGTCGTCTGCCCGGCCAGCCCGGCCCGGCGGCTGGGCGCTCGCAGATTCCTCCACCCCCTTCACCTCTGTAACCCCCCCCCCCCCAAGCCCTCTTTGCTGCTCGCGGACCTGTCAACGCGCGTCCAGGCAGGAGGAGGCTTTGCCGTGTTTACCAGCTTACACCGTGCAAAAAGGCGAACGATTTTTTCCTCAGAGGGGTCGAGGGGGGAGGGGGGGTCAAATTCAGTTGTTGCCTCTTGCTTCTCGCTCCAGGCGGTGAGCAGCAGGCCGCTCCTGGTGTCCACGCCGCCGCAGGGGTCATTAGCATCGCGGGGCTCCCACGCCCTCCTCCTCGCTTCCTCTCCTCTCATCCTCCCCCTCTCCTCCTCCTCCTCCTCTTCCTCCCACCGACCCGCGGGTGTTTAGATGCAGGTGCGACCGGTGAAGAACTGGCCCCACGCGTGACGAGCCTCCCCGGATGACGTGCGAGATCTGCTTGGTTTATTTTGCTGCTAAATGTTGTTTGTTTTCCCGGTTCAACCGTTTGAATTACTTTGCGAGTACATGGAGTGACATCCGGGCTTGCCCACCAGTCAGACGAGTATTGCTAGTGTATCGAATTTACACTATATGTAACTTTCTGCCATAGTAGTATCGGATCCAGGTTGAACCCACATCAGTCGTTCCGCGCTGGCATCACGGTATAGTTCGCTACAGTTTTGATAGTTTGGGTTTCGAGAAAAAAAGATAATTTAATATTAGAATCATTTTCCTAATTTCACAACGATGTAGTTTTTATCTTGAATTTCAATGGTTGTTTGAATGTTGTACGACAAGATATTCTGTGCTGCCAGGGATGAAAGGGTGACGACATCCTTGTTGGTGGTCGCCTGAGGAAGGAGGAAGGTCACCCTCCCCTCTCACTCCTTGCTTCCGGAGCAAGAGAATCCGGGTGGCGAAGCTCGCGCCTTCCCACGACCCTTAAGTGCGTCAGCGAGCAGCCGTATCAGCAGCAGTAGAAGCACCTGCAGCACCTGCAGCACCTGCAGCAACAGCAGACTGCAGTATTTGCTCTTGTAACCCTTGACCAATCGCTGGCAGGTGCAGCGTGAGCGTGGGGCCCTCCGTCGTCCCCTCTCGGGGCACCGGCGCCCGCGGTGACCCGCTCGGGTCCTTGACCCCCCCCCCCCCTTCCTTCCCTTACCCAGGCCCTCTGCAAGTGCAGTGCAATCCTCCTTGCAGCCCGCTGCACAGCGGTGCATGTTTAGTGCCAGGGCCAAAGAGGTGCACCTTTGCCGATGCTGCTTTGCGCTGCCCAGCGTTGAGGTTTCTTCTCCGGGCGCGCCCAGCCCAACTCCGCGGCCCCACCCCGCCCCGCTCCGCCTAGCCGCGGCCCTGCAGCATCCCAGCAGCCCTGCAGCACGCAAGGCAAGCACAGATCTTTTGAACGACCTTCGTTGGGCGCTGCAGCAGCTGGACCAGCGGCCCGCGGTCCACACAATGCACATCACGAGCATCCACCGGCCGGTTACCGCTCCTCGGGGAAAGCAAGGAGCAGTAAGACTGATTCCCCGCCCACCCGCGCGCCCCGCCCGCGCCCTCTTGAAGGTCCAGATCGGTTCAGACCTAACGGCTCTGGAGTGTATGGAGGCCCCGCGCTGCTGCCCCGCGCCGCCAGCCGCCACCACGCCCCTTTTTATGCCGTTTCGCCTTTGTCGAACGCCCACCGCGGATGAGTCGGCTGACCTGGGCGATACACTGTTATGTTGTTGTTGTCGGTTGGGGAAAGAGAGGGGTGTTTTTTGAGGCGGTGTAGTGCCTGTCAAAACGCATCACTGTTTGGCTTCTAGTTTTCGTGACAATAGTTGGCCGTTAACAAAAGTCAATATATGCGACAGTTTAATGTTACTAGAGTTTTTCCAGTGCAAGTAAGTTTACTGGTGCTGAGCCCTTAGCGTCATGACGATGACAGACGATGCGTTGGAAAGACGCATGGTGCGCGGTGCGGGAGCATAGACGGGCCTAAAAAAGTGGAAACGCAAAAAATACTTAAAAAAACATTTTATTGAAAAAAAAATCGAACACACTTGTTTGAAACAGCGAATAGTCTATGTACCATCCACACGTGACTTCCACACGATACAACGTTATTTCTTTGTATTAGCTGTTAATACTTGGATTATATTTAAAATTTTAGTCGCCTATTAAAACGCCTCCTTTCATTACAATGTGTGATAGTCTTTATCCTAATGGGCATTTTAAATGGACATAACATCTAAAAATACATAAAAATTATTTTAAAAATTAACATACAAACATAACACTCTAACATAAATGTATACAGACATTACAATAGAAGAGCAACATATACAACAGGAAGAACAAGGGGTTGCATTGTATGCAAGGTCACAGACCCCATTTCGACTAGATCATTAGTATTATATACACTCGATATGTACTGAAAATATTCAGCAACAAAGTTCATACACTGCACCAGCAGTCAACAAATGGGCTAGTAACAAAAATGATCACCGGCAAAAGTTTACTGGCAACAAGTTGAGCTGATTCAACGTCGGAACGGCGCCGAACGAATAAAAAACAAAACAGTAGCTAATTCGGGACTGTTTCGACGTCCAAATTAAACGCAACAACTTTGGGGAAATATTTACAAGGAGTTTCACAGACCGGCATTAATCCTTGGAGGTAAGCCACCCAGGTGGGGATAAAGCAAATAAAATATATTTTTCATAATATGGCACCGTTTAAGGCTGGGCACATAATTTTCATAAAACTTAAAATATTTTATCCTCCACTGGGGGACAATGGTTGTGTCATGGCACCACATGGCACATCAAGTTCGTTGAGAGGTAATACAATTTTATTGCATTAATATGCATTGACGTACAAGCGTAAAAGCTGAAAGATCGTGCAAAATCGTTTGAAGGGTTGTTTAGGCAGACATTTAAATCAGTTTTGATCAGTAGTGCCTCATGGTGTTAGTAAAGCGGGTACTACTTTCGTATGCTCACAGACACACATAATACATATCACTTAAAAAAATTACACAATTTCTACAAATCTCCTTAAAAATACATACAACGATGTTTTGCATTTCCAAATAATCTTTGGTATTCGCAGAAGTTTTAAACATCTAAGAAGTTTGACAGCTAAAATCACGCAAGTGAAAGGTATAAAAACAGACGCAATCCAACATACATCTGTAAATATTTAATACATATTAGCCAGACAAGGAAAAACTCCTTATTAGCTAATGGACAAAAGCAGAGAGAAACTTTTAATAAAAAACAAAGCTTCATTCCACTTTTAAAAAAATCTACTATCGTCCTCTCTTAGTCAAATTAATTTAGTTTGTGAGTTTGGATCCAAAACCCTAGTGAAGTCTGTCCCTCAACATCAACTCTCAGTCTCTCCTCTTACACAAACAGGAAGGCCGTTACTTTAGCAGGCGTTGTAAAAATACTGATACAAATATGCTACTACACGTCCAGGTCTCAAATAACACAGATCTTATGGAAATCAAAACGTTACAAGTACGCACACGCAGAATAGGCACGAACATTACAATAAATGGTGAGTTAAAATATCAATATCATTTTAATGGTTCTACACTGTTTCTAAAAAAAATCCGTCCCAACTACAGGTTGCATTAAACACAGCAATATGCAGAGACGGGAAACATTATTATCAAACAATAACATTTTATGCTGGCATTACTGAGTACTCTCATTTCCCAACGAGTAGGCCCGAAGTTATTCTTTAGGGTATCTTCCAAATCACAGGAATTTAACTCCTTAGATACAGACGCACACCATTGCACGCATAAACACACGGTCATTCATAACAGCCCCATACATAAAGTGAGACTCAATTCAAAGAGAATTTCTCTACGCGTAAGATGAAGAAACGAAGAGAAGATTTCACTCACGTGGCATCCACATAGCCCCAAGAGTGTCTCTCCTAGATGGAGCCCTCCTCGTCATCCTCGTCGCTGTCTCCCGCATAGTCGTCGCTGTCCTCGGCGGACTCGTCATCCTCGTCGTCGTCGCCGAGGCCACCCATGTGCTCGCCCAGGTCTAAATCGAAGTCCGTCACCTTGAAGCTGGGCCGCGACGGCCACGACAGCTTGTCCAGGTTGGGGGACAGGAGGTCCTCGCGATCTCCGTTCATGATTCTGTGGGCAGAGGGTGCACGTTAGCAGCCGGTCGGGTCACGGGTAGCAATGAGGCCTACATACTAAAACTAGGCAGCAAGGCGGAGACGGGATTTTGTTTTTATTTTAATTCTGAGAGGGGAGGTGTGACAACTGTGCGCTCAGCATATGGGGCAGCAGAGGCACAAGCTGAAAAAACCAATATTAAAAAAAAGTCAACAAAAAAAAGAAAAAACGAAAACAAAAGCGAACTGCGTGTGGGTCGAGCGAGCAGCGGCACACATTCATATTAAAAATAAAAAAAAACACTAAAAATAATACAAACAACGAAAATTATGAAACGAACACAGAAACGAAAGATGCACATCAACGATGCAAGCAGATGTCCTGCAGTGCTCGATCCAGTGTGTATTCTCAGAAAGACACCTGCACGAAGCCAAAATTATGAACAATCGCTCTAAGGTAAGCTTTTCATGGGATGCTAAAGGCGTGGCGAAAGTCTATGACGGGTCCTCTTGAGAATAGACACTGGCCCGCAGCCGTCTGCCAAAGCGTGCGGTATAAAAAACTTGTTATAATTGACAGCAGCTGTGAAAAATTATAGACAAACAAAAGAAAAAAAAGTAATGGCAGGGTGTGCTATAGCGTGGTTGCAACGACATGGAATATCGATACAAAACGGCTACAAGATGCAGCAGCAGTAGGGCAAGCCTCCCCCTCATCCCCTGATGTGTCCTCCAGGTCAACACTGCGCTAGTCTACGTCACCGCTGCGGTGCCACTACTCGCAGCTACGGTGGGAACAAGCTGTCATGCTGCGGGCCACGACTGTACTTACACCTCATTTCAAACCCCTCACACGTCACATCTCATCCTCCAGACGCCTGGAAACCAACAATAAAATCACTGCATCAATATCCTTTTCTCTACCTCTCTTTTCCTCCGGAAGCTATACTTCCCCACCTCCTAGAAGTTTGTCATTGCGCCTATTGGAAGATGGGTAGCACCTGGTGGTCCCAAGCTCCACACTCCCAAGACCACACTCCTTTCGCCCCCGACGTCCTCCCAAACCCCTTGCTACATCCCACAGGACGGCGGAGTACTTACAGGTCCTCCTGCGGATCCTGGCCACCTTCCTCCGCCACCAGCAACTCGTACTCCTCGGCGGCGTACCGGTCCCAATCCGACAGCTGAAAGCAAAATGCAGAAATAAACAGCCTCAGCATAATCAAAGATGTTGTTTTATTTTGGGGAACAATAATAGGCAGCCGCCCCAGCGGGTGGGGCGGGCGGGTAGGCAACACGGGGGCTCGACGCCGGAGCGGGTTGCCTACTCGCCGCTCCGCAGGCTGACATGCCCCGCGCAAATACGCACCTCTCGACCCTCGTTGTCGTGGTCGCGCTGGCTGGCGAACGGGTCGCGCTGCTCGTGGTCCAGGTACTTCTCGAGGTTGAAGAAGGTGTCGAAGAAGATGGACGTCATCTTGCACCGCTTAAGGTCGCTCAGGGATATCTTGCCTTGCACCTCGGGGCGGATCATGTCCAGCATCTGCGAACGGGACGAGAGAGGTAAAGTTAACAACAAAGCGGGTATCAACTCAATCCACTGCACTATACAACGAAACAAAGAGCACCGGATCCCGTTCACTATGAGAAATTCTAGTAAGGGTTATAGGAAACTTTTCCATGATGTGCGTTGTCAAATTGAAACTTAATATTATAAAATTACGAGCACCATGCATCGACTTGGAGCAAGAATGGACTGGCGCAAATTGACAACATGTTTTGTAGATAAATATTAAACAAGTGTTGTTAATTTACGAGGATATTTTTCATAGTGTGACGATCTTTATTTTTCGATCCGAGGCATGTCATGAGTACCTGGCAGAGGCAGTCCTCGAAGGGCAGCGTCTCGATGCCGATGGCGTCCATGCGCTGGAGCTGCTCCTCGTAGAAGTACTCGAGCTCGTACATGGAGAGGAAGCCGTCGCCGTCCAGGTCCATGCACCGGAACCAGTACTCGACGGCGGTCGGGTGCGTCTTGTCCTCCTCCGAGAGCAGGAACCACACGAACTCGGTGTAGCTCATGCGGTCCTCGCGCAGCTTGTGCCGACCGCCGCGGGTCACCGCGCCCGAGAAGATGCGGTCAATCAGTCGTGACGACAAAGCTGAAAAATGCGACATTTGTTTGAAAAAAAATTGAAGATTTGTCAAAAAACACACACTATTCCATAGGCTTCTTGCTTTGTTTTGTTTTGTTTTCAGTGAAACCGTAAAACTCTGCCTACCGTGGTCGCTGTGCCGAGCCAGGTCGTGGCGGTCGATGAAGAGGTCGTGATCCCGGTCGAGCTCCCAGAACTTGCAGTAGATGACGTAGAAGTGCTCGTAGCTGAAGTACTGCGTGATGGCGTTGATGTCATCCTCGTCCTCGAGCAGCTTGAGCACGGTCAGCAGGTTGCTGCGGCGCAGCTCGGCCAGCGAGATGCGTCCGCTCCACGACCGGTTGACGCAGTAGTAGATACGGGCGATGACCTGCACGCAAGCCACACGCAAGAATTACAGAATTTTAAATTGAAGTGTTTTTTTTTTTTCGTAATAAATTTTGGACGTAGGTCATTTTTATTCGAGTCATGCCGGCAGGGCAGCGGACAGTATGAGAAGGAGGTTCGGTAGTAATACCAACCGTGTGCACATATCTGGAGTGGAACTCGGTGGCCTCCTTGAGGAAGGTGAGGCCGGGGTGCGTCTCCACGACGTCCTGGACCAGCGGGATGAAGTCCTCGGGCAGCAGGTAGTCGCGCTGGCCGCGCGTCAGCACGCTCAGGAAGCGGGACGCCGGGTTGTGGCACGACGAGCACAGACTGCGACACAGAGAAGAGCCAGTCAGTGACGAGTTAGATATGAACATTTCAGACGACCGTTAAAAGAGGATTTTAAATAACGAACGGAAATGTTAAAAAAACAAAAATCAGTGAATGTTATTATTCACAAACAATCTTGCAAATTTGAAAGTTTTCTGTTTTTTTACCACATTTAGTCCCAAGAAAAGGGCAAGGACATCACGAGAAGAGCAAACGCCCCCACGTAATCGTACTCACTTTCTCCAGTAGTCCAGGAAGCTGTTGACGTCCACGTAGCCGGCCTTGTCACCCCCGCAGGCGATGAAGAGCGGCGCCTTCCAGTACAGCGGACAGTCGCAGGCCTGAAACGCAAACAGAGCGGCGGTGAGCACAAGGAGGCGCAATAAGGACTCGTGTCTCGGCGGCTGCGCCGTGGAGGTAGGCCACCCATCCTGCTCGAGCGACCCGCCCGCCCCACCCGCCCAGCCTTTTAATGCCGCCACAATGCAGCGCGCTTGCCCCACCCCACCTCACCCCACACCGCCCCGCCCCGCCCCAGGGTCCCCGCCGCACCACATGGTCTAATTCGGGACAAGCCACTAGAAGGACAAGGACGTCGAGCCCTTCACACACAAAGGGGAAAAGGGGGAAGGGGGCATAGGATAGGGGCTTTGACAGTCGATGCTCGGGACGACAGCGAATTAATAAAGACTGGAAATGGGGGCAGTGCTTTTGATTAACTGAATGGGTGTCCTGCTGTTAAAATTGCTAATATACTCCGCAAACCATTGAATACAGTAAATTAACCGTTTTCACTGCAGAAATAATTGTAACTACATCAGTAGCTGTGAGACATCAGTCTTAGTTTTTACTGTAAACTTAGTATACACACTTAGATTTGAGAAGTATAATATACAACTGTGTGTGAAAGTGACGGAGGGGCCTCGTAAATTAAACATTTTCGGCTGGATCCAAAACCTTGGACCAAAACACGCCTTGCGCTCAGCCAAGTCAAGATACATTTTGTAGGAGACTCTGATCAACTGCAGTAAATTTTTGCCTCATGAGCGAGGCAAAGTTGTGTCCTACTGCTGCAGCAGTGGCAACAACATGTCCTAGTGCTAGTGGCGCGTAGGCAGACTGCGCGGTCGCTGCTTGAGGCAGCTGTTGAACCGCAGGTGGCAGGCGGCGGCAGGCGCGGATTA